CCCCAAAACCCCAAAACCCCAAAACCCCAAGATTGACATTAAGATTGAATATTAGAAACTATAAGCGATAATTTGTTAAGTTCTTATTAAATCTAATAGTCACTTTATAAATCTTTTTTAAATTAAAGTATATTAATGGAATCAAAACTCCTAAATTATTCAAAGCTTAAAATATATAGAAAGTTCCTTAAATGGATTATTTTAACTGTAGGAGTAGCTTGAATAGTTATAGCCTCAAACTGTTACTAGACCTACCCAATAATTATGAGGAAAGATTCAATGAGCACTGAAATTAGTGCTTTTGATATCGACAGTTACTCTAATTTAGCCATTGCCTCTTAGCAGCAAGATCAAAATAAATACACTCCGACAATATCATATGTAAAAGCCGGTAATAAATTCATCTGGGCCAAATATCCTCAATCCTCAGCCTATATTAAGATTTCAGCAATAAAATTTCAACATAAGGTTAAAGAATCTAAAAAAATACTAGTAGTTTTTGATAGGTAAGATTAAGATTAAATCTAATAATAACCAACACTATTCCTGATATTTAACTAAGATGGCACCTTATTATACTAGATTTAAGATAATTCACCTGTGTTTTGGAAAAGTTATCAATCCACTACCTTATTCACGTCAGATTCAAGAATAATTATTGGTGGGGAATCGAATTAATTATCGAGGCTTAATTTATTCATAATTGACCCTTAATAAAGCCAGAGTAAGACTGTAGGATAAGTGGGTTTTACTCTTCCTAATACCACTATTAAATCTATGATTTTTGGAGAGACTGAGAGTGTACTATACCTGGGAATATATTATATAGATCCTTTAGTTGGCACATATCAAGTTCTTGGAAAGTGGTCAATCAATCTTAACACTCCCAGAGTAGATTACTTTTTAAAATATCTTATAAAGGAGGAAAGAGAAAATCATAATAATGAAGAAAGTTAGCACATTTATCATGAAAAAACTTAAGATTGAAGCTCAACTGTAATGGGCTGTGCAAATGTTCTAGAAAATAATAATAGTATCATGAAACAGAGAATGTCAGTCTTTTATCTAATCATTCCTGATAATTATCAAAGTAACAGCCAAATTCATTCATTTGAGAGAAAACTTATCGCAAATGATGATTATAAATGCCATGCGATTAGTAATTTTGGACACCCGTATGTAGCTTTTGTTCTTACTTAAATCTAGGATCTCAGCGTAGAGTTAGTCAGAATATTAAATCTGGATAGTACCTCTCCAGATTATGAGTTCAAGAATTTGAAAATTTATATTGATGCATCATCGAAGTTATCTTAAGGATTGATTAAATCACGCTCAAATATCTATTATGCAACAAAAGATTTTTATAATAGGTAAACTACATATTACTATGGATTTATCGATTCATTCGATTATATGTAAACATGTAGTTAGGATTAGTTACTAAGAGATTTCAAATCTTCGATTTTTTATGATGATCTTAGTGAAGTAAAAATATTTACTCCCGATTATAATAATCAAGGAAATGCTCAAAGTATTTAATTAACAAACTATCTATTTATTCCAATATTAGACTAAAATACAATTTTCTTTCAAAATGGATGCACTTAAAATAACCTTAATGCAAAAATAGAGTATAATCTAAATTAGGGCTCGAGCTAAGTGATTAATAAGATTCATGTTATGCCAAAAGATGGAAATTTAATTTTGCACATAGACCAATTATTTAAAGAAAGCTAGATATGTGACGACGACCAATTAACCTATGAATTATATAAGAACTTTAGTAACGCTTCACTAAGTTCAAATGGAGATACTTTAATATTATATCAAAATTCTACTACTTTAACTCAATATTCATCAAAAGATATACTAGCAATCTCCAAATTTACATTCAAAGCTGTGATTCCTACTAGTGAACTGAAAATAGATTATAATCTCTAGGTTATCGACTGCATGAAAGAGATCGTTATAATTGGTAGCAATATACCCGAGATCTAATATGTAATTGGATCACAATAAACTATAATGCTGGGTTAATTTACTTAGTGGCCTTCACAATGCGATATTACTTACTCATTAAATTATGTAAAAGGCCCACAAAACTTATTGAAAGCAAATGGGTTTAATGTTGATTCTCAAAATATAAGAAAAATTACCATAAGCTTGACTGATTAAAAAGTATTAGGAACTCATTAATTAGAATTAAAAGCCATAAACAATAATAATAAGAGTAACTTTGCCACTGTCAAATTCTCTATTTTAATAAGATGTTCAATTACCTATTCCTCTTCTAGTATTCAAACTAACATTGAAATAAAATTAGGCTAGAATAAAATTATACCATTCAAAGAATTAAGCTATAAAAACTTATGTAAATATCCATTCAAATTTGAGAGCTACTTGAGTGATGGATCTATACTTCCAGAATTCATTAAATTTTAGCCTTCTAAGCTCACTTATAATATTTTTACCCTAAGCTCTGCTTATATTGGCTCATATAAGATAATAATCAAAGCATCAATTCAAGATCCTACAAGATTATATGATCAGAGCTTTTAATGGAATTTGAAAATTATCAAAGATAAAAGCATAAAGATTAATACAATAGCACCTAAATTCAAAAATGATTTATAAAGTTTAGAATTAAAAGTTGGTCAGTAAATGACATACAATCTACCTGAAATATTGGATGAAGATAGTAAATTAGAATAAATTGAAGTTTAAGCTGAATTGGGTGCATCTTAAATTTTTACAACATTTAAATCACCTTATCTAGTATTTAACCCCATTCCTGAAGATGAAGGAGAGTATCATATCCTAATTAAACTTATTGACAATGGAGAGCCTAATTTAATATCTTAGTTTAAAATAGAATTGAATGTAACTATTCCTATCAGCTATAATAATTATAATAACTAATCAATATCAAATTTTAATAAATAAGTGGAAGATTTCAATTAATTTAACAAAAATTTCAAAGCAACAATTAAGAAAATTAAAAGTGATGGAATAATGGAAGTCTAGTTTTACTATGATTGGGATTGGAATAATGTTTATTCCAACTTTACTAATTTAGTTTTATATATAAGCTATTAGCCATATCAATAATAACAATCTCAGGTGGTAATAAAAAAATGGGAATTTATAAAATTCAATGATAGATTACTATAAGTTTAGCTTTACTTTGATAATTCTTTTGATGTTTCTATGCAAAATGTAAGAATATTTTTTAACTTACCAATTTTAGTTTTTAGATGAGATAATTTTGGAGATATCATATTAATTTAAAGCATAAAACTCTTAGAAAAGATAATTGATTTCATCTAGATAATTAAAAAAATATTAAGTTAAACACGATTTACCTTAGCAAATTCTTAAAGGTAAATATAAGATTTCAAAAATAATTTTAAATAGCTGATTAAGAACTGATTGATTAATCTATTACAGTCATTTCCTACGCACTTTTAGGAGGAATAGGTTCAAGCTTAATTTTTCAATTTTTCCTGTATTTACTATGTTTAATATCTAAATTTTAGGTCATAATTACTAGCGCTTATATGGTCACTGATAAACAACCTTTAGCTTATTGTATATTTTCCTTTGCTAGCAAATCCTATGCCTGCTAATGCACAATATTTCTTGCATATGCTGGTTAATCTAGCTAATTTTAACCTCATTCCTGAGGATACTTATCAAAACAATATTTTTTGCTTTTTCATGAATGACTTAAATTAGGAAGAAAAGCAGAAATATATTATTGATTAGAGATATGAAGCCTATGGTTTTGAAAATGTATTTTTTACTTCTTTCTTCCAAAGTTCAATAAAAATTGTATCTGTATCACTTATTCTAGTAGCTCTTGATATGTTTATAAGATAAAGCTTTTGCTAAAAATATCTAAATTCAAAGAATTGGTATAAGCTAAAGTAAATTTATGATAGCTTGACATGCATATTTTATTATGGTTTCTATTTAAGATTATTAATAGAAAATTACTTTCCACTTTGCCTTATGGTAATTTTAGTGTATTAAACTTCAATAGGTATTGAAGAGATAAGAATATTCTTAAATAGCATTTTATGTCTTTGCTTAGCTATTATGATAATTCTATTCCCAATTATCATTATAATATTCCTGAAAAGAAACAAAAAAAACATTGGTACTAAAAGATTTGAAATGAAATTTGGAACATTGTTAGATAAAATTAACTTAAGCAAACGATTTGCACACTTTAATATAGTATTCTTTTTACTCAAAAGACTAATATTTGCCTTAATTTTACTTCTTTACCCAAGTAATATTACTTAAATAGTTTTATTCCTAGTATCAAATACTATATACATCACTTATTAATTTCATATGAAGCCATTGAATAAGATATACTTAAATACAATTGAAATGTTTAATGAACTGATATTTCAAATACTAATTTATTTTTTGATAATATTTTCAGAATTTTTATTGATAATTATATGAAATATCAATTAGGATGGGTTTTTATATTAGTAATTTTGTTTAATCTTGTCGTTAATTTTATTTTTATTATTGCTATTGTGATTGCAAAGATATTTAAATTTTTAAAGAGCAGGATATAAAAACATTATAAAACTAATAAAACAGTAAAGTTATAGACTTCAAATTCTGGTTAAGAATATTATAAATAAAATCTTAGAAATAAAGAAACTAAATCAGATATAAATTAATCAATTAACTCATTAGAATATTAATTTGAGCTCAAGACTTAAGATAGCATGATAATAATTTAGGAATAATTAGAATAAAACAAATAAGACTTAAGTATACAAGAATCTTTTAATGAAATGAAAGAATAAGCAAATACTAGGAAAAGCAAGAAATAATTATAAATTTAGCTGAAGCCGTTAGGAAATAACTATGATTCTAAAGAGAAATATGATTAACCTAGAATAATGTAGAAAAGTGTAAATAAATAAAAGATTAAAATCAAAAGTAATGATTTGATATTAGAATCCCATATTTTCAAGTTTTAAGATGATATGAATTATTGAGATTTATTATTAATATTATTGAATTCATTAATCTAATCTGTCAATTGATTAAAATTTTTAAACTATGGGGTTTTGGGGTTTTGGGG